CTAACCACTTGCAGGTACTCTGTGAGAGTTTGGCACAACATGGAAGTTCCAGATCAGACCTAAGATGGCAGGTGCAGTGGGCCTTGGTGATCAGAAAGGGAAAGGGGAGGAATAATTAAGGGGCTAAAGCTGAGAACTAAAGGATGAGAGGGGGAGCATGGGACAACCACGGTGCTGGCACATTGCCCTAATGCTGTTTGTCCTCTTACCAAAAGCATCATAAATTAATAATCACCAGAACCACATATTGTCTATCTCCCTCTGGCTGCTTTTAGTCTTTTACTTCCTGGAGTATAAGGTTCTTTTTGGAAAGTAATAAAGGGGTCTGGTTTCAGGGTATGTGTGAATGTCCATTGTTATCCCTGTCCCTCCTCATTATTATCATGTTAACTTCTTTGTCTTGAAATTACTTTTTATTTTTTAATATATGTTTTTATCTTTCTGAGTATATCTTCCCTCTACCATATCATGTGAGCTTCCTGAGGGACTGTTTTTATTTTCATTTTGCTATTGCTATTGCTTAACACAATACCTTGTACTTTATAGGCTATTAATAAAAGCTTGCTGAATTCAAGTGGGCATGTACTATATGCAAAGGCATAGGGCTACAAGTTTAGAGCTAGAAGAGACCTTTGTGGTCATCTAATCCAACTCTCTCATTTCATTCTATTTTTTTAAAGTTTCATTCATATTTTTTTTTTGTATCATAGTTTTTCCCAAATATACTTCCCCCCCCAATACTCAGTGAACTTTCTCTTGGAACAAAAATTTTTCAATGAGACTGCCACACATTAACCTTGGCCATCAGCATTTGCAATATAACACACTCATGGTCACCCACATCTCCAATAATAGGAAGGAGGTGCATTTTCTCACCCTGGGACCAAACATTAACCCCTTAATTTTACAAATGAAGAAACAGTGGCTCAAAGAAATAAAGTTACTTGCCCAAGATGACATAGGGAATAAGCTGCAGGACCCAATCCTACCTCAGATCTTCTGACTTTAAATCTAACATTCTTCCCGCTATACCACAGAGGCAACTAGGATTTGAGTGGGCAAAGAGGCATGAATCTGTTTTCAAGGAACTTATTGTATAGCTGGATGAACACAACATATAAATAACAATGCTGAATAGCATAAGCTAAGGGTCAAATGTCAATATGAGCTCTGTCATCCTTTTAGTCAACCAGATTTCCTACTTCAGAGCCATCCTTGACAATTTCCCTTAAGTCACCGGCTCTTTCTACAAAATATCCCACATCCATCCCATTCTCTCCATTCAGAGAGTCTCTACCCTGGTTCAGGCTTTCATAGCCTAATTGGTTTTCCTGCCTCCATTCCCTTTCCTTTCCAATCTTCTCCACAACCAGATAAATGGTTATTCCCAAAATGCAGACCTGAACATGTTACCCTCACCAATCTTCAAGGATACTCTACTGTCTCTAGGACAAAATGCAAGATCCTCAGCCTGGAATTTAAAGCCCTCCCCTAATATGTCTTCCATCTATATTTATATTCTTGTTACATATGATTCCCCTTCAGGCACTCTCCATTTCAGTCAAACTAACCTTCTAGGTGTTACTTGTTTATCACATTCTATCTCCAGTCTACATGCCTTAGCCAAGTAGTCTCCAATATTTGCCATATACTCCCGCTTCAAATCCCTAGATTTCTTCAAAGCACAGCCCTGGTTCCAACCTCCTATACTCAACTTTTCCTGAACCCTTCCATGCACTTTCTCTTTCTTCAAGGGAATTGGAACAGGACTTCTGATTTCATTGGTTTTGGAAACTCCCAGGAAACACTTTCTATACCAAAACCAAGTATTTCCTCTGCACCTTATAGTAAAAGAGAGTTTCCTAGGATACTGAGAAGTTAAGTGATTTGTCTAGGCTCACACAGCCAGCTTGTGCCAAAGACAGGACTTGAACCAAGATCTTCTGGAGTCAGAGGCTAGCTCTATCTATAACAACACACTCCTCTCCTTCCTCTTGAAATGATTTTATACATGGCTTCTCAAAAGTCTTAAGCTATTAAAGCTTAAAACTGCACCAACACTTATGAGACACCCTATATATACTTGGTATTGACTTACCGGTGTGCATATTCTATCTCCCTAGTAAAATGCAAGCTACTTGAGGCCAGGGTATGTGTGTATGTGTGTGTGTATGTATGTGTTTGTGTGTTTGTGTGTGTTTGTGTGTGTGTGTGTGTTTGCCTTTCTACTTCCAGAGGCAGTGTCTTGTACATAGTAATTACTTAATCAATATTTGTTAAATTAAAATGAAACAATACAGTTTATCTGGTACAGGCTGTAGCAGTCTAGAAGAGGTGATCCCAGTGAGTTGGAGAGGAGGGTAAGAAGGCTTCCTGGAAGATATGAGATTGATCTGGGCCTCCAAAGTAGAATAAGACTTAGAGATGCACAGAGGAAAGAAGGAGACATATCAGGCATAGGAATCAATATGAACTGGGGACAGTGGGCTGGGAATTTGCATGGCCATTTGGGCAAGCATTAAGTAGACTAGAATGGAGGATTTCTGAAGCAGAGTAAGAGAAAACAGCTTCACAGGATTGGCCTGGGTCAGATAGCAGATCTTGAGTGCCAGGATAAGGAGTTAAAACTTCATTGTCAGTAGACAGTGGGAAGCCACTGAAGGATTCTGAACAGGGCAGTGGTGCTTTAGAAAGATTAATCTGGCAGCCATATGCAGGATGGATTGGAAGGCAGAGGGAGGAATATTGGAGCCAGGGAGATATGCTAAGAAACTACTACTGCAGTATAGATGTGAGGGAATTGAAGGCTAGACTGGGTTAGGAACAGGGGTAATAAAAAAATAGGGGATTGAGGGGAGTATAAGAGACACTTCAAAAGAAGAATGGATAGGATGTATTAACTGATTATATCCGGAGGTGATTCAAAGACCTTTAACTGGATCCCTAGAACCAGTTGGCCAGGTGGTCTCCAATGTAGGTAGGGGTAGGAAGAAAGAAGGAAAATAATAAAAAGATGGGGATCTAGACCAACCTGGTCACATCAGTTCTGATGGAGGTGGCCTTCTCCCCAGATAACCTCTGGTCCAGTCATCCTAACCTATCCCACAATATCCAGCTATAACTGTGGAATGAGATTTATTTCCCGTATGACTACATTGGCTCTTGATGACATATCCCTAATCTTCAGAAAGAAGCAACTCCCCCCCCCACCCCAAATCAGGACTGCTGGCTCCCATTATGCAGGGGTAAATACTGGGGCACCAGGACTTGCCTGTGGTTCCTCAGCAGGCCAGGAGCTCAGTGAGAACAGAAAATAGACCAGTGATCAGCCTTTGAGTCCTACTAATTACCCACCATATTACACTACTCCTCTTTGATTTCAAGGAAAATACCTCAATCCCCTTCCCCAGTCCAAACCTGGGAAATGGGACGTGAGAGTTGGTGGGAGATCAACATCTGTCAGGGAAAGGATCTGTAAGAAAAGGTGAGAATGAGGGTGATGGAAGGAGAAACAGAGGTTCACCAGAGGTTCCTAGCTCCTGGGAAGGAACTGGAGGATTTATGAGAAAGAGGAGTGGCAGGAGTTATTTTCTCTAGCCTGGTTCCCCCTGGATGTTACAATGGAGCATAAACTCTTCCTCTAAGATATGAAGAAGGGAGCAGAAAGGCCGGCAGAAGGCTGGGCATGCAGTGGGAAAGGTGTGTGTTCCTCAGAGAGCCTCCCTGCCCACAGAGAAAACTCCCTTCTCTCTCTCCACAGTCCCCTGCACTATCCTGCAGGCTTGGCCCTGTTTAAGAACATTTTCCTGGAACCAGCCTCCCTAAGGGAGGAATGACTGTGGGTGTGGGTCTGTCAGTCTGCACTAGCTGAGAAGGGGAGAATTCTAATTATTCTTACAAGGTGATTCTCTTCTGGGACAGCAGGAAGGAAAGGAGAGTAGAGCTGGGCTGGGAATTCCAGCTCCAGGCAGTCAGTCCCAAGAGAGATTTAAAAAAAATTGCACACCCATTTCCCTTTCACATACATGCACACACTAATACAAATACAGTTACACACCCTTTAGCACATACAGAGTCCCACGCAGTCTCTTATTCTTACAGATGCGCTGGGTGCCATGTCTAAGATTTCAAAAGCCTTACAAGAAAACCTGTCACTTTGCTTTTTTAGTTACAGCTCCGACATTCACACACCTTCCGTAGCAATAAATAAATGAAACCCACGTTCACCCCCAGCTCCCAACACACACACACACATACACACACACAGAGTAACATATAGAGAAACAACCGCACAGTCACTCTGACACGCTCACTTTCACTCACACCCCCTAACGGTGGTACATACATTGGAATAGTGTCTTTCTCAAACAGAGGGACAGTTTTCCTCTTTTCTGCAACCCCAATTCCGGGCCTCATGAACTCCCTTGCTGGGCCTGAGCCAAGTTCAGGGAGGTTGAAAAGTGAGGCTCATGAAGTCGTCTAGCAGAGCTCAGAGCCCAGGAGCAGGATAGTCTTGCCCTGCTCCCTCGTCCCCGTTTTGCTTTTTGCTCTCCCAGCAGGCAGGGCTCCCTGAGAGCAGACTGGCAAACTACGAGTGCGCTAAAAGGGAAGGGTCTTAGTCTATGCAGAGGCGGCTGTTGAGGGAGGGACTCTCAGCTCTCCCTGCCAGGAACTAGAGGCTCCCTGCGTCCAGAAAGAACTGAACTACCATAGCGGTCCCGCTTTTTTGCCTCTTCTCACCTCGGCACTCAGTGCCTACATATGTTCTTGCTCTCGGCGCCACCTCTCCTCGTTCCTTGCTCGGTCTATTCTTTAGCACCCCATGACCCCAAGGTCCTCAGCCTAGCTCACCGTTCCCGTCCCCAGGGCCCTCTCTCCTTTCCTCCCTCCACTCCCTAGAGGCTAGCTCTCTGGTCTTTCTTGCCTTCCCTCGTGTCCGTGGCCGACCGCTCCCCTGGGGCCCCGTCCCACTCCGCCCCGTCCCCTCCCGGCTGGGTTACCGATGGTGGTGATGACGGTGATGGCGAAGTAGAAGGAGCCCGCGAAGCGCCACTGCACACCGGCCTTGTGTGGCTTGAGCAACAGGACCACGCGTTCCAGCTCCTCGTAGCCGCCCTGACTGAGGTTGTAGCGCGCCCGGAGCTCCAGCTGCTTTCGCTCCAGCCGCTGCCGGTCCGTGGTTTCGGGCTCCGACTCGAGCGCGTCGAACACAGCGGCGCCCACCAGCAGGTAGGTGAAGGTGCAGACGATCAGCGCCAGCGTGCGCACGTTCTGCCGCTTCATCGTCCCGCCCGAGCAGCGGACCTAGAGCCCTGGCCTCGCCGGGCTCCCCCGGCTCCAGCCGCCGCCACCACCACCACTGCCGCTGCCCCTGCTGCTGCTGCCGCTGCCCCGCAGGCGGCCTGGGGCATGGCTGCGCTAGGCTTCTCCAGCGCTGAGGGGACCAGTGGCTCCTCCGCTGCTGGGCTCGGCGATCTGTCTGTGGCTGCCGCCGCGGCCGCGTCGGAGCTGTCCCTTCAGCACCACCCACCCTCCCTTCTCGGCCCTGCCCCCCTAGCTCCCTGGCGGCCTGGCTCCCGCCAGCCCTCCCGTCCAGCCAAATAAGGACTGGGGAGACGCACAGAGGTAGGCGAGGGGGATGGGGGAAGCAGAGGGGAAAGAGAGAGGGATAAAAGGAGATAGAGATTGACTCGCCTTCACACACACATGCATTTATGAAAACACACACACACATTGGCATACACGGCCCTGTACACACAGAAGCCAGCACCAAAAAAAAAAACAACCCCAAAACAAAACCCTGTTCCTATAAAATTATTCTTCTCCCAGAGTCAGCAAATAATCTGAGACCCATTAGGTTGACAAGCAACCCTACAAAAGAACAAGCCTTTAGACACATTCTCCGCAAATCATGCTTCTTTTTCTACTCCAGGTCTCTTGGGCCTTTCTTGGTGGGAAGAGTGCATGTCCTGGTTACCAGGATGGCTGGTACAGAAGGGTCTGTGGAAGAAAGGACTGGTCTGGCTTCTGGGCAGAGCCAGGTTTGAAACTGGGTTAGATTCCAAGTTAACTTTGAACAGCAGGCTTGGCAACAGGCAGGAGAAACTCATGGCCAAGACTGTTCATCCTGAAAATGCCCCTGAAGAGTTTCTTGCCCTTCTCCTTCCCCTCAGTCTCAGTTTCTTCATCGGTCAAAGGGTGGTGGTGGCAAAATATATGTTCATAATGGGGGATGTAAGAAGGGGCAGGGAGGAAAAGGGTACATAACACTATGGCCTCCCCTTTTTCTTTTCTTGTGGCTGTGTGTTATAAGAATGACTGAGATACACTATACTGTAATGAAAAGACTCAGTTGGAGTTGGAGTCAGAGATTTTAACTACTGGATGTGCCAGTCTTTAACTTGCCATATGACCTTTAGCAAACTACTCTTTGAACTCTAATTTCCTCATCTGTAAAATGAGATATTTTGCAGATATAAAAAGGAGACAGCTTAGTATAGCTGATAGAGAACTAGCCTGGAAGTCAGAAAGATCTGGGCTTGAGGTATCCCTAGTAGGGATTCTACCTGCTAAGTACTTTAGAGGCAGTGCATTATGGTGGAAAGGATATATGCTTTGAAGTCAGAAGGCCTAAATTTGACTGATGGCTCTACTACTTACTCGTATGAGTTTGGGCAATTTACTTTTTCTCCTGGTGCCTCAGTTTCCTTATTTATAAAATGAGGGGTTTGGTCTAGGTGATACCTAAGAGTTTTTTCCACTCTAAACTATTACTACTCAGTAAGGGGAAAAGTTTACCTACTGACTCCAGTGACTTGCGGGTGTGGTGAAATATCTCTCTTGATCAACAATGCATCCTATTCCTAGCTATATCCTTTGACTGAAATTCCCAATATTTCCTTTTACATGACAAAGGGAACTTCTGTTTATAACTATTTTCTGGAAAGAATAACAAAAAAAATCTAGCATTAACATCTTCATGTGAATTAATTTCTCAGAGTATTCTCACCTAGGAGGTTTCTGGGCCCATAGTTAACCAAAGGGGGTAAAGAGGCATGGAAACAAAATTCTGTTATCTTCCCAATACCCCTAGTGTCAGCCCTGGATCTGGAAATTTGAGGAAAGCTCCTGGAAAGCTTATAGAGTAAATGTATAGAGGAGAAATCATCAGTTACTAGCTCCAAGTGGCTATGCAAGGGAAGTATTAGATGGGAGGGGAGAAAAAGGAACAAGCATTCACTTTTCAATCCTTTGAGTTAGGTACTCTAATTACCCTCATTTTGCATTTGAGGAAACTGAAGCAAACAGGTTAAGTGACTTGACTAAGGTCACTCATCTAGTAAGTGTCTGGGGCTGGATTTAAACTCAGGTCTTCTTGACTCCAGGCCCATTGCTCTCCCCACTAGGCCACTTAGCTGCCTCAGAGCACTAGAAAGTCAAAGTGGAGGTGAGAATATCAACTCTTACCCTGATCTCAGGTAACCCCACATCCCACTAATAGCACTGAGTGAAGAGGTATACCTTTCAGAAGGCTATATGTTTTGGCCCATGGAGCAGGGCAGACAGAGGCTACAGGGATCCTCATGGATTTCATAATAGAGGAAAGAATAGTAGATTTGGAGTCAGATGGTCTACATCCAAATCTAAGCTTTGCCTCTGTGATCGTAGAATATTGTATCGATTATGAATCATAGACTCTGAGGCCTAGAGGTCTTAGAGGGCATCTATCCACTTAGTGGATAGGGCCCTGGACTTGGAAGCAGGTAGATCTGGGTTCAAATTCATCTTCAGGCACTTATGAAGCCATCAGGTCTGACCCTCACATTTTACAGGTGAGCAAAATGAGGACCAGAGAATTGACTTGATTTGCCCCAAACCACACAGCTAAGTAAGTGCCAGAGCTGAGACTAGAACCCAGGACCAAGATTCATAGGACCTAGTAGTACTCTTGTTTCTATACCAAACTAGCTCTAACTAGGTGGAGCACAGGGACAAATGCAGAGAAGAACATCAAAGTTCTAGCTCCCTGACCATGACCCAGTGAGGTAAAAGTAAGGTGAGCCTGATATCCCTTGCACATATATCTCATTACCAGGGGACATACAAGGGAACTAGACTAGATGGAGGATTGAGAATTGAGGTCGTGTGGTATGGGGCAAGATTGAGAAGCAGAAGGTCTGGGTTTGTATTCTAAGTTCCATTACCATCAGGGTGATCTAGGGTAAGTTACTTCTGTCTGAAAGTTGGGTTCCTCATCTGTAGAAATAAGGAGGCTCAACTAGATGAGATGATCTTTAAGGTGCTGTCTCAATCTAATTGATACACAATGTTTCCAAAGTGTCTACTACTCAGGAACATTCCCACAAATGTAGGAATATCTCAGACTTAGATTTATTTAGGCAATCATATTTGGCTTCCCCCTTTTGCCAATGACTCAGCCAGAGGACATTTTCCAACCCTCCAACATGGAGGCAGTGCTTATCTCCTAGTTTACCAAGACCTCTGCTCATTTCCTTCCAGGATATGAAAAAGCATGATCCCATCCATGGGATGCAGAGGAATCCAAGGAGTGTACCAAACTGCACATGGAATTTTTTTTTGCATTCTTTCACAGAATTGGTTTCCTTACTGCATCACTCTCCAGAGGCCAGGCTTACCTGAAATTTGCAAAGAGTAGGAAATTGGTTTATAAGAAATTGGTGCAGCGGGAAAAGGCCATGAACTCATGGTTTCCATGTCATTTATGATTCACAGTGTTGCTCGGAGGAGAAAATGAGACATTATATGTGAAAGCACTTTGGCAGAGGAAAAAGCACTGTACAAGTGAAAATGTATTATTAACTTTTACGATGATCACATGAAGTATTAGGATACTGGCCAGGGATGACAGCTCCAAATGCAATCTAAGTTCCACTAGAGACCGGTGGGTGATCAACTAACTTCCTGGAATGGCCAGGAATAGTGCCCTCAGTAGATGCTTAGCATTCCACAGGTTCATCCTGGAAATTCTGGAAGTCTGAATTGGGACTCTTTGGGAAATTTCTTTCAGTTAATACTGCCTTCTCCTCTTTGGCTTTGTTACCTGTGGCTCAATGTGGAACAAACAGATACCCTTAGGTTGCCCCCTCCCCACCTCCTATCCCCATTCAGTCCCACTCTCTTGGGTCCTTTTCTTCCAAAGGTAATGTAATAGTAAAGGAAAAAGTACTCCATTGGGAGTCAGTAGAGTTGGATTATGTCCTTGGCTCTGTTATCAATTAGCTGTGTGACCTAGGTCAAGTAATTTCATCTAGGGTGTAGTTTATTTGGCTGTAAAGTGAGGAAACAAGACCAGATGACCTATAAGGTTTCTTCTAGCTACAAATATTGAAAAATTCTTCTTTACAGTTGTGCCTTTTGTCACAGGAACTGAGATGGCTTCTACTATGGACTGGACTATATGACTTTTGAGATCTTTTGTAATTCCAAGATTCTAGGATTCTGAGATCCTTACCATTGTTTGCCTCTTCTTAGCACTTCCAATGTAGACTTGAGTGCATAGGTAAGAGGACCAGACTTTCCAAATCAGGCCCTGTGCAGTGAAATAGACTCATTGTCTCTTTCCTTGGGTGATTATCACCTCAGGCCTGTGCTCAATGATGCAGGGCTCTCTCTGCTGTTCTATTATAGTCCAAAGGCAACTCTCTCCTTTTCTTTTAGATAGTGTAGCACTAGGATAGACTTGGACTTGAATTCAGAAAGACCTGAGTTCAGATCCTACCTCAGTCACTTACTAGCTGTGAGACCCTTGGAAAATTACTTAACCTCTCTCTATCTCAGGTTTCTTATTGAATAAAATAGAGATAATAAAAGCACCTACCTCTTAGGGCTTTTGTGAAGATAAAATAAGATAATATTTGCAAAGCACTTTGCAAACCTTAAAGCACTATACAAATGTTGTTACCCATCATCATCATCATCATCATCATCATCATCATCATCATCCTACACAGAAACTTCTTCCATTTCCTCAGGCCCCAGAGCATATATGTCATTGTACCACTGGGAGAAGACTCATTTTAACCGAGGCCTCTTCCAGATGATATCCTGGTCTCTGTTGTTTCAAACTAATCCATGACTATAACTGTAATGGTGGAAGTTTCAGGCTGGTGGGAGAAAGATTTTGGGGGCGGCAGGACTTTTCAGACCTCTCATGTCACCACTATTTAGTCTCTAGTCTCTAGGCTCTGTTAATGAGTATGAATGAATGAATTAAAAAGCATTGAGCACTTCACTTGCAGCAGACATTATGTTAAAGACAAGAGATATAAAAAACAAGACATAGCCTGACCTCAAAAAGCCTACATTTTAGCAGGGGAGGCAGCACATATAACAGAATGGTGGCCTGGAAGAGGTTGTCTTGTCAGGAAGTCAAAGAGATGATGATGATGATCACACACACACACACACACACACACACACACACACACACACACACACACATATATATATACGTTT